TGGCCAATGGTTTCCTGAGAGAGATAGGTGTTCGCAATCTGTGTCTATATTTTCCAAACTCTCTTTACCAACTGCTACCTTCGCTAGTGAGTTTTGTCCACTCGTCTGGAATGGATCCACGCCCGGATCAGTCATATGACAGTGGTGCCTTTCGTCTCACACATCATTCCCATCCACCTTTTGCCACATTGTTGGACGGGTAAATCTTCGGCATGCTAGGTGTGTAAAGCAGAGCGCAAACATTCACAAATGATAATTTCGGCAAGAACTGTGCAATCTACTCACTTAGGTACGGTAGACAACCACTGACTCTAATGAAGCCCTTAGACTGCGCCATGTTTAGACTTTATTGGATTTCTCCATGCATTTGAATGCCTTTTTGAATTACCCAATGACCCTCGGGGGCGTTTATTATTATACCACTATATTATTGGGTTGTTCGGGGAATTTCCGCCGATTTTGTCTCTCTAATTTGAAAGCGCATATCTATCTATCACATATCTCGTCCAATCAAAGCGCCCTTGTTCAAATTAAAAACTTTCACAATCCCCATACCTTTGTCCAGAGTTGAAACACAGCAGATGTATTCAGATAGAGCGGGAAACACGCATTTACGCTGTACAAATTACTAGCAGTTTCTTAAAAGTGGCCCAGAAATAGAGCATCCAAAAATGAGCTATAAAACGGCGGAATTTCCGAACAGCTCAATATATAATCGTCAGGACTTATGACCCCTTAGACAAATATCGCGCCAATGAATTGACCCGGAAGAAGTGCACAGTAGCCATGGCGGAGCTGACCCACGCCTTGAGTCAATGTTAGCCACCTATTGCCTGAGGTAAGCAAACCAGCCCTTTTGGCGTTTCTGCTGGGGGCCGTATGCTGAATGTTGGGGAGGGGATGGGGTCCCCGAGGTCGACGGACTACTTCAACTCGGTCGGTACGGTAGGAGAGTGATGACGCAAGTGGTGCAGCTGGTCCAGCAGCTCCGCCAAAAGGGCTGGTTTGCTCACCCCAGGACTAAGCCTTGGAGAGAGGACGGACCCGTCCTCTCTTTAAGGCTTAGTTCTGAGGTAAGCATCAAATTGAGGCGGTTTAAGGACCGAGTTGAAGTAGTCCGTCGACCGTCGGGGACCCCATCCCCTCCCCAACATTCAGCATACGGCCCCAGCAGAAACGCCAAAAGGGCTGGTTTGCTTACCTCCCTATTGCCTGACCTGTAGTCCATAAGCTTGCAAACATAACAAAACCTGGTTATTTTGTCAACTTGTTACTTCCTATTTCCTATAATATTTTTGCTTTTTGTATTTGTATACCTTTAGAAGCCATGTATTTTCAAGTAGTTTTGATTCAAATTTTTAAGCTAGATTTTAATATTGTGGTGCTATATTTTTTGTCTCCTGTAAAATTCTATCTTTAAGAGTCCAGTGAATGTTAAAATGCTTGGTTGATGGTGCTCATCTTTATGAAGCCTTCCTTCTTTTCAGCCTCGGAAGGACTTCTTGGTTATGAACGAGGCCGGTTCGTGGTGGACGGTACATCCAGATTGTGAAACAGCCTGTGCCGATGAGGTGTTTCGGCCGGGACTCGCTCATCGCTGTCCTCCAAACGGAGGCGGCGCAGCTTCAAGGTGATCACTAGCTTTAAATTAAGTATTCAAGGCGAAAGTGTTCATGTTTGAGAGGGTTTGCACCACCCCCACTCTCCTCACTGCCCTTTGTGTTACAGGGTGGGCCAGGGTCAACCGTCACGTTGGACCAATTACAAAAATTTTACGACTCCACTCGCCTCCTTCTAGGGCCTCCGTACGACCCCCACTCCAAGGTCACTTCAACGACTCCGCAGGAAAAGGCTCACGAAATACAACCGACCCTACTCCTCAGCCAGCTCCCGCCCCAAACTTGCGCTCCAAAAGATGGCGCGTCGAAGCGGGGGATACAAACAAATGTGAAAGGCAAAATTTGGCAACATCACAAGACATGCAAAACCTACACATCGCACTCGGCCAACAACTAATCCGCTCTCCGTTCCATAAAAAATCAAATGTCCCTTCCCTTATGTAACATTGACGCTTCCTCGCGAAATACGACCCCCCTCTTTTCCACCCCCAAATACGACCCCCCCACACTCCCTCGTTGGACTTTGTCCAACGGGCGGTTGAACCCTGGGTGGGCCATAATACTGAGTACTAATATGTACTTGTGAGCACTAATCGATGTGCAGGTGCACTTTGCCTGGTTGTGAACCAGGCCTGCAATGCAGCGACTCAAAATCACCGACTATTTTCCTAAACTGATTAACTGTCAGCCACAAAATCAATGCCATGTTCAGTTCTCTGGGAAGCATTGTCCAATGTGGCGCGCAGATTGTGTTACTGTTGCTGGCCACCCGCGGTCTGGTTTAAGTAAGGAAATCTCTCACCCTGGGGTCATTCATGTCCTGCCAACAGCACAGCAGTTTTCCAATTACAACGCTTACCCCTCTAACAAAATGTCTACTCCTTAATTACTGCTGTACTTAACAGTTGCATGTTGAATACTTGAAGTCATTCTATGAATCTGGAAAACTCCGCGTATGCAACTTTATGGTCTGATTGAATATCGACTTTTTTTTCGAAAGTTGTGTTCGAAAGCCTTTAATAACAAATGAAAAAGAGGAAGCATTCGACGTGAGATAATCTCTATGGAGTGCGCCATGCATCTCACTTCCACTAAAAAACTTATGAGTATCGAGGCGCATTAGCGTGAAGAATTTATTTATTTTTATTTATTGGAGACGTGAACAAAAAGTTACGTGAGAAAATTCGGAAAAGAATTGGAGGTACATCTCATCTTTTTTTCTGATAACCTTTCAACAACCGCTTTTGAAAAATGATCTGAATGATTCTCCAGGAGAAAAAAGCATTCTGAAACAGCAAGGCACCTTATCAGTTTCGTTCTTATCGTGTCGATGACAACCGTCTTCAAAGGTCATCAGGGCGTGCGTATACTGGAACCAGTGCTGTGTGCGTGAAATAACCAGTATCCAAGTTTTTGAAACCGAAGAAAGATCTCCATGGGTCAGGTTCCTGCACATTTCTCCTCGGAACCTACAGGCCTACCTCATCCGCAATTGTTGAGGGTAACATTCTCGATGAGTCTACTAATGTGATGAAACCACGCTGTATTATTCTAGTCGCTCTCCGCGAGCGCCATAAGCCACGTGAATGATGTGTTATTATGCAGAGCTGTCGTTCAACGAGAAATCTTGTTGACTCATTACTGGTAGGAGTTGTTGACAGAATCAAGGCTGGCATCTCTGGTTGTAATCCGATTAAAAAACCAATCTCCACATCATCAATAGTATGGTCGCCATGGACAAAAAGCGACGTTAAAGGCTCCAGTTATAGTACGCGCACGAAAACGTACACGTGTTGCGTGAAGGCGCTCTCGTGCGGAATACGCAACACCCGCGACGTCGCACTCCCCCACTACAACCCATAACCCGTTGGTGACAATGGGTCCCCATGAGAGACGCGATTTTTTACGAATGACGATGCGTTCTCATGTGGGGATGCAATGTAAGAAATAATTCCTCTGTGCAAATTAAAAATGGCAAGCGATGGCGTATTAAAGGAGGATTACACGATAAGGTCGAAGGTCGAAGAAGGAAAAACGTGCTAGTGGAGAGACAGGCGGACCTCCTAAGGTGCGGACCGACACGCAATTCGCAGCGAAGGATATACCCCCGCTATCCAGCATGGCCCTAGCTGCGGCGCTATCGGCGCGGTAGGTCTCCCTCTCGCTGTCCGACTCTCTAGCTGTTTAGCAGAGAGAGCACGGCGTTGAAGAGTGCAGCACCGATGAGAGTCACATCAATGCTGAACAATGGGCAAGGAAGGGATTCGATTTTTTAGGTTCTGGGCCATTTTATGGTTTTTTATCCATGCAGCACTGGTCCCTCTACCACTATGTTTCTAATGAGCTGCCTCCATCGTAAGATCCGCCTTCAATCAGAAAAAGTAAAGAATAGTGAGGAAAACTAGGTTGCAGTACTTAAAGGCAAGA